CCTTCGATGCTCCAAATATTGCGGTTCCTTGTGCTCCGAGGGACCTCGGGAGGTCCCTTGGAGATTAGGAAGAATTGGTTGGAGCCACAAGGACGCCACAAGGAAATCTCCTTGTGGCGTTTTCACTTTTTTTTTGCCAGATCGGTCCCTAGGATCTGTCTCTTATACACATCTAGATGTGTATAAGAGACAGGGACTACCCTGCCCCCACTCTCCTTGTCACCCGCTTTACCCCGGGACCCCCCTCCGCCACCCTCTGCCCCTATACCTGTTCACCCCGAGTTTCACCCCTTCAGCATGGGCCCGGCGACTCCAGCTCAAATCAACAACCCATGCCGTCCAACAAACAACAACAGTACTACAGAAGATGTGACTACCCCGACCCAACATTGCCCGATGCAAAGAAGCAAGGGATTCTGTGAATGCACACAAGGAGGACAGCAGAAGGTCGAAAGCCGCCCAAGATGAAAACTGAAGACGGGGACTCCACAATCCGTTTTCTTTCTGGTCAGGTGGTGAGGCACAAATGGTTAACAGGTACCCTCACTTCGCTGTTTTATATGTTTTCATTTTTTTTTTTTTTAAGGTTTTTTTTTTACAATATGTTAGTAAGAAGTGCGCTCTACAAATTGGTGTAAAGTATCGTTAAAATGGCCCTTTGGTTTTCTTATAAATGACGGTGAAAATTGGGGGGTCGGTTAACCTTCTCTCAAAAACATCTGAGGGTGTGTTGCTACGTGCTTGGAGGCGCCCTGCGCCTCTGGAGAACACGTGGGACTCAACTGGCGGCGCGGTGTGAAGGGGATCAGGTAGCAATGGCAATTGCCTGGGGTGTGGATTACAGCTATCGGTGGGCGGGAGTGGACGGGAGGGCCTTTGGTCCTGGTGGTGAGACGGAATGGGAGATGGTAAATGAACGTGTACGGGGGATGATGGCATGTGGAACGGAGCTTCCCCAAGGAAGATGGAGCTGAGGAGGCACGCTTCAGTGAGAAGGATCGATGGGGGTATGAATCGGCGGATTGGGGTGGGAGGGATTGTCATTCTTCCTTTGTGAAGGAGCTGCTCAGTAATGCTGCCGGAGACTATTCTCGCTGCTCAAGACTGGAGTGCGGTGGTGTGACGGCAACATCCTCTGCTCTTTCTGGACTGCCTGTGAGGGGCCGCTGACGGGCTCGGTGGTTTTGGCTCGCAACATAGTGCAGATCACCGGAGATGCGGGTTTGAACCGTGGGCCGACGGTCTTCATCGTCCGGTCCTTTAAGGATGCTCGAGTCAGTGATCGATCATGACATGGCCGGAAAGCCTTTACGTTAGTGCCGATGAAGGAGGAGGTGAGGTTTGGAGGGGGGAGGGGGCGTGGTGAAGGGCGCTAATAGAGATGTTTGTGTTCTCTTCTGTCATGTACTATTCCTGCGTAGCTTCTGTGAAAGGGATGAGCCGACTGGTCTACTTGATGATCCTTGCTTCATTCTCATGCCATTGGATGATTTTACGGAAATGGTTTCCTAGATAGATTCTCGATCTTGATGGCTGTTTCCAGGTTTGAGTTCATAGTTAATTTTCTGTAAATTGGTCGTAATTACCTTCTTAAATACGTTCCTGAATATGATCTGAATCTCTCGTTTGATTTTGCTTTCGTAAGCCTTGTTTCTGAATTACTGCTGAATCACTTCTTCAGCAATCTTCTCAGCTCGAGACTCGGAAAACAGAGGTTATCCCCGAACCGAAAAAATGATTGCCAAGCTAGGCTACCAGCCGGGACGTCCCTGGTCCCGGGTGGGGCCTGCCCGTGCAGGGACCCAGCAAAAAAATAAAATAAAATAAATAATTTAAAAAAATCCATGAAATCCATAAAATTATTAAAATATGAAAAATGATTGCCAAGCTACAGTCTTCCCCCGGCGAATACAACGTATACAGTCATTAGGGTTGAATTTAGACTGAAAGATACACCAAATTCAGCTATAATGACCGTACGATGTATTCGGGGGAAGACTGTAGGCTACCAGCCGGGCCGTCCCTGGTCCGGGGTGGGGCCTGCCCGTGCAGGGACCCAGCAAAAAAAAAAAAAAAAAAAAAAAAAACTATGTTATGCAGACAACTAAACCTAACAACTTTTGCCTCAGGGTTACATCGAAATTCTTTACCAAATTTGAAATAAAAAACTTTTTTCTTTTTTTCTTTTTTTCTTTTTCTTTTTTTGGCCCGGCCGGGCAAGTGACCCCGGGCCACTCTGGTAGCCTAGTTGCCAATATGTTAATCCGTTTTTTTGTTGTCGAAATCGAAGGTACTTTCCTGTTTTCACTCCGTTATTTCCCTACTGATACGTTTGAAACCCTAAATTTCTGAATACTGACATCGCAATTTTTTTCTCGAATTTGTCTCTCTGAAACTGTTGCTGGCGCTGCTCTGTTGGTTATTTGGTTGAGTGCTTGGGGATGACACGTCCTGTGTCTTCTGCCACCAGGTCATCCACCTCATGCTGCTTCTGCTGCTGCTGTTGCTGCTGTTGATCACAGGGGAAAGATAAATGGAAGTGTTGCATGACCCTTTGATTTCTACTCTGACAAAGATCGGTGTAGCATCGGATTCCCCTTTCGCACTGCAATAAATTACGCCCATCCTTCTTGGGTATAACTCCATTACCCATCCATTGATAAGCAAATCCAACCAACCCGCCGAACGGGTAGAAAAGGCAAGCGATGCTGGAGATGGCTAAGATCGAAGACGCGCAGAGTGGCACTAATGTGCTACTTGACTTCCGTACAGCTTTCTGCGGAAGCGTGTTCGAGAAGTATCACATTCTCCCAGTCCAAGTGGCTTCCTTGGACGTGCATCCGGTCGCCATCAAGCCGGAGGGGATGTTTTTCTGTAATTTACGAGATTTCTTGCTGCTGCCGGGAAATGTTGATCTCCTGACGACTGATGGGGACAGCTTCATCAAAAGATTTGCTGACTTTGAGAATGCTGGAGCAGATATTACCGACTGTTGTGCGGCTGCGGCGATCGCTAGCCAGTTCTGGACGACGACAAGGCGACGTCAGGATATCCGCGACGAGCAAGGTGAGATTGTGCCTTTGGAGGAAAGACTGATCGAATATGCACACTCGCATTCGAAGTGTTTTTTTTGCGAAAATGTTCCAGCGGTCAGGAAGCGATGTCACCCGCGAGAGTGATGTGGCTCTTGCTTTGAAAATGTTCAACTTTCTGAGGAACAAAACTATTTTCGGCGAAGTCAGCGAGTTGCACGCTTTGACACATCTCATTGATTTCGATTTGGTGGGAGCGGACAATCGCCGTTTCCCGCTGCGAATGCTCATGTGGGACGACTATCGTGGTTGGAATGTCGAAGGGGGCTGGAGATCCGGGACCGCGAGACGGACCTCCTGGTCGCCAAAGCAGATGGTGGTCCCCTCGGGGGGGATTCGGCCGATGAGACAAAGCTCGAGATTTTGGCTGAGGAAGCCGTGGAGCAACGGTATAAGCCACACGGCGATGTTCCTACGGTGCAAAGAGTGTCGGGACGTTTCTGCCTCTCTGATTTCAATGGGGAACAGACAGTGGAATTTTGTCAAAGGGACTTCTTTGACTTCGATGGTACACGGACGTCGACGAGATCTTTAAAATCTTGGGAAACGAAAAAATGTTGGCCATATGGGATCTTCGTAAAGCTTATTTCGTGAGGCGCGAGTTCAACCACATTTCGTTCTCCGGCCGATCCGAGTTCGAGCGGTTAATTCCAGTTGCTGCTTCACTGTGTTATCTCCATAACCCAGAGAGACGGGATGGTGACTTCGACTCTGTTGTCGGACTGTTTCACCTTCGCACATCATCGCTAGAACAGGCACAGCATAGAGATGGAAGAAACCGAAGACGTTTCGACTGCATCTTCAAAGGAACATGCTGGGAGAAACTGCCTGAGGAGCTGATCGAGCAGATACTGGGGTTGCTGAAACATCCCCGACGACACAGGTTCAGACCTGCTCAACCCCAGCAGTGAGGGACACATAAAGAGTGCTCCCCACCAGTAAGCTATATATATTCACCGAAGCGACGAGACCAAACAAAATCAATGTTGCAAACGCCTCTCCAGGCACGCAGCAAGACATGCTGGACACGAAGTGCTATTGTTTGCCATTGATCTTTTCCACCGAATGTGGAAAGGCATTAGGTCCAAGGGGGTACCTGTACCTTTCCTGTACATGTACGTGTGCGCAGCACCAAACCGTGCACACCTTTTGTGTGCAGATTTTTTTCTTTTCTTTTCTTTTTGCCACTTTTTGGCACTTTTTAAAAATTTTACTCAAATTTGGCTTTTTTTTTTTTTTTTTTTTTTTTTTTTAGGTGCCTTTTTACAGTTGCCGGGAAACGGGCCCGGCATGGGCTTGGCCGATGTCCCATGCCCATGGCCGTCGCTGGCATTCAAATATGGCTGGGAATTTTGAGATGACGGCGACGCAAAAGTTGTTTGGTCGGGAGCAGCCCCCGCATGCTCTCTCGTGAACACGGTTTTGGCTGCTACGGGGGTTCCTGTATGACTATAACTAGGAATAGTGGTAGGTGTAAAAAAAAAAAAAAGAAAGAAAGAAAGGAATAATGGTAGGGAGGTAGGTACGTAGTGTGAGGTGAAATTGAGAGAAGAAATGTAGCTTACTTTGGGAAAAAAACTTTAAAAAAGAAAAAGAAAAAAAACTTTAAAAAAGTTGTTTTTTTTGAACTTTTTATTGGGACGCTGCATAACGTTTTTTTTTTTTCCCTTTTTTGTAAGTTCTTTTTTTTTTTTCAACCTTGTCTGCACGAACCCTGGGCACTGGCTGTGCACATGCACGGGCTTTACCCGAGTCCTCCATATGCATACAGGGTGCAACACAGTTGCATGAAGGGGGCTGTTTTAGCTGTCTAAATTTGATGCAACTACCTTATTCGATCACAAGCCAAATACAGCTGGGATAAACACCCTCTTTTTTTCTTTTTTTTTTCCTTTCTTGGAGAATGGCAGTCAAAGTCCACAATTTTTTTTTGTGGAATAAGGTAGGTTCTAGTACCTGCAGAAAGTATGCGCTTCTGCTGCGTACTAGGGGGTTGCTCATCCGTCCTCCCCTTGTTTAATAGAAGATCCAGGTGCAGGGTTGGGTCTTATTGACTCTGCGCGATCGCTGGGAAAATCTTGTGAATTTGACGGCCAACCGCCGTGGATGGATGACGTTATCCATGGACGAGTTGGACGCGTGTCTGTTAGTAGGTATCGGGTCTTGAACTGTGGTCTTTCGAACGTAGAACGGGTGGGCTTCGGCTTCTTGAGCGTCTGTTGCAAGTGCTGTCTGCGTTCACATCTGCAGTTTAATGATGATATAGGTTGGCCGGAAGACAGAGATGGACCATTTCTCGATTTATCCGTGTCATCATCCTTGCAAAGGGGCCATGCTTATCTTTTCTGTATCGTTCCAATTTTAACGGATGTCCCGAAGGACGCAGACAGAGATGGGCAGCACTGTGGGCTGTTGATTGTGTGATACATCATGGTTTTATGGAGGACGACAACCATGCAATTACCAGGGGAGGGTGAAGACAAACGGACGGGATCCCCGTTGTGTGTAGTTTTCTGTTGCTGTCAGTCCGTGTTTCCAGCAGCAGAGGAGTCTGTTGCTGTATCTGGTTTGCGCGTGGGGTGGTGATCATCTTTGTCAGTGAAACATCATTCAAGGCGGGGTTATGTGCTGTCTTGCACAAAGGCCTTAAACCAAAAAAAAAAAAAAAAAAAAAAGTGCTGTCGTTTTGGGCAGGGTTTTATCTGCTGTAATTTTGGGCAGGGTTTTATGAGCTGTCATTTTCAGCACCAAATGCTGATGTCATGTACTGTCATTTTGGGCAGGAACCTGGTCAAGGTGGGTTGATGTCATCTTGTTTTTCCTCAATCGAGCTTTTGTTTTTCTTTTCCATTTTCTGGTTGTATTGTCCGATAAAGATTTTTTTTTTTTTTCACCTGCAAAAGGGCATCTTGTGGGCCATGCTCTTTCTGTTCTGAGGAGCGTCAGTCGGGTTCCTGTTCCAAAAAAAAAAAAAAACTTGGAAGTTAGACTATCAGCCGGGATAGGTAACTGATAGATGGTGGAAAGTACACAAGCGAGATCAAAACTCATGACATGCAAGATCAAAAAGCTCATGTACATTCACGTACAAGGTACGAAAATACACAAGTACAGAAGATTGCATGCCGGTTGGGATATGGCTCCCCGACCGGTTTCGACCGCAGCCACGCGGTCATCCTCAGGGGGTTTCCACCATACCGTTCCCTTCATCAAAGCCCATCATTCCTCTAACCCACCTCCGCCGTTGACCCGCTAAACATCTCCGGAAACGTTCAGCGGTCATCCGCGAGCCTGGCCATGCAAGGACCAAAGAAGGTCCCAAAAAAAAAATAATAATAATAAAAAAAAAAAATAAAAAAAATCCTAGGCTTCCAGCCGGGCCGGGTCATTTGTTTGCACGGGCGGCCCGGCCCTGCAAGGGCCAAATGCAAGGAATATGAGCGAGAGCGATAGAAAGAAAACCAAGTTGCAAAATCACGCGGATGTCCAGATAGTCATGTACAAAGCAGAGAGCATAAATGCACCAAGATTCCATCCAAATAAGAGCAAAGCAGTGAACTCGTGTGCCAATCTTATTTCCCTCAGGGCCCACCAACACAGTATCCAATGTCGCTCTTCTCTGTCTGGCGCCCAGCGCCCAGCCTACTCTACTGAGTCTATCTATCCTATCTACATTCATGCAACAGGATCACTCCGACGGTGAAGACCGATGTACATGACGTCAACACCAATGCCGACCTCCCACATACACCAGGTATGTTCTCTCCTCTCTTCTCGTCAGACCTTGACCATCCACTCATGCACCTCCTACCTGAAGACCCCTGTCGCCCATCACCCGCATGCGCCCCTGCAGCCCGGCTATGGCTGCCGCGCACTCGCTACCCTGCAGCGCCCCTCTCAGGCTCTCACCTCATAGCGCCCGCGTGCGCCCCAGCCAGCAGCGCACATGCAGACATTTGCACAGCAACGCAGCCGTGTGTCCGCATTGCCTGCCTAGGCCAGAATACCAGCCTCTGGCCAGCCTCCTCCCTATATGGGAGTCGCTGCCCTGTTTGGCTGCGAGGGCCTGGCTGAGGAAGCTCCCGGTAGCTTCCAGTCGGGCCCCAGTGTCTGCGTCCAGGCCCTGTTCGTCAGTTGAGGGCCTGGGCCCTTTCTGGTTGGGCACGTCCAGGCAGCCTCCAGACTCCAAGCGTTCGTCGTCTTCTCATTAGCTCGCTGGGCCTCTGTGACGTCAATGCTGCATTCTGATTCGCCCGTGGCCACTTCGAGATGTGTCGGCCTCACACTGTGTGTGCCCAGGGTGCAACCACCCGGCCCTGGGCTCAACTGCTTGACGCAGTTGCTGCTTCTGGAAGAAGCCCAGGGAAAGGCTCACGCTGCTCTTCAACCAACTGGCGTGCTGCAACTGTCTGATACCACATTGGAAAATGCTGAGATAAGGGCCTCTCGTGGATATTCAGCCCGGGCCGGGCACGAGGCTTGCTGGGGGCCACAGCCCAGATATTCCTCACACAAAGAAGTTCCCTGGAAAAAAAAAAAAAAAAAAAAAGAAAAACCCTATATTATGCAGAAAAATAAACTGAACAACTTTTTCTTTTTTTTTCCCCGATAAGATTTGTCTTTTTATATGAAAGCTCGCAATTCCCAGTTATTTGGGCCCATTCATGAAACACTGTTCAAATCTGGTCCATATCTGGGGCCCCGTTGGATGCCTTTGCGTCCGAGTTCGGTCTGAGACTTAGCTCGCTCCGTGGTCACCTGCAGAAGTTGCAGGCGCTGTCCCAAATCCGAGGACTCGTGTGAGCTCGGATCAACTCGGACCCGAGTGGTCAATCGGAGTCGTCTGGGAACAATCAGCGAAAAGCTCTGGTGAAAGAACGCGGGCACACCCGAGCCACGGGTTCAGGCTCTTGCCCGACTGCCGTGGTGGGCAGCGCCGGTCGTAATCGCGTGGCAACCCGACGTCAGCATCACAAATGTTCACTACACGACGACACGGAGGGCAGATGTACGCAGCACTCCACGAGGCGTGCGGCATGCGACGACAAGCAAGGGAGAACGACGATCCTGCACGAACGTAGCCCGTGGATACAAGGCACTGCCGCGAGGGAATATTTGAATTTTCGACTGTTGCCGACGTTAACCGACCGCGAAATTCTGGATGAGGCATTGCAGGGACGATGGTTCCAGCGACGGGAGGCCGACCGACGACGGTGATCGTTTGGAGTCGTTGGGGTACCCCACAGTCGTAGCACGGTGGGGATGTCCTTACCGCCGACAGATGTACCACGTCTGGACCACCCTCAAACCAAAACTTGACGACGCCGAAARCCTTCGATGCTCCAAATATTGCGGTTCCTTGTGCTCCGAGGGACCTCGGGAGGTCCCTTGGAGATTAGGAAGAATTGGTTGGAGCCACAAGGACGCCACAAGGAAATCTCCTTGTGGCGTTTTCACTTTTTTTTTGCCAGATCGGTCCCTAGGATAGGTGGAATGAGCGCGCTGACTGGCTCGAGGGGTCAAGGGAACTGACTGCTGGCCGCTTGGTCTCGGGGCCTACTGCAGAGGGAGCGGGGAGAGAACGAGGGACTGAAGGGGCACTGCCTAACTGCGCACCAAGAGAGGCCTTTGGTAAGGGGAGGCGACCAAAGGAGGGAGGGGACCTCGACGACTTAACGGGCAAACCTCTCGGATCGGACAGGGGGCGCGGGGAGCGAGTGGAGCCAAGTCCGCTGGAGCCAGGCACCAGGGGCTCGGCCCRGGCAAGAGCTCGATCAGCGGGCCGTGGGGCCTACGCGGGGTGGACAAACGAGGTCCCAACCATAACCAAGGGCGACTGACGACAGAAACGGACGACACCGGTATACTTGCCTTGCTGAAAGCTATGTTGGTTCCCCTTACAAGCTGACCTCGCCRCCTCCCCTCTACCGGTSTGCTTGTGTTGCTGAAAGCTATGTTGGTTCCCCTTACAAGCTTTGTTGACGAAGATGATAGAATT